CATGACACCGTGTCCCCCATACACATGTCCCACCGTGTCCCCATGTCCCATATCTATGTCCCACAGTGTCCCTGTGTCCCCCGTATCCATGTCCCACCATGTCCCCGTGTCCCTCCACGTCCTCATGTTCCCCATATCTGTCCCACCATGTCCCCGTGTCCCACCGTGTCCTCATGTCCCACAATGTCCCCAAGTGCCCCATATCCATGTCGCTGTGTCCCATACCTATGTCCCACCGTGTCCCATCTTGACCCTGTGTGCCCCATATCTATGTCCCACCACATCTCCCTGTCGCCACCCACTGCTGCCCCATCCACATCCCTGATGTCCCTGTCCCTTCGTGTCCCCAGACGCCGCTGCCACCACCATGGACCTCCTGTTTGGGCGCCGGAAGACGCCGGAGGAGCTGCTGCGGCAGAACCAGCGGGCGCTGACCCGCGCCATGCGGGAGCTGGACCGCGAGCGCCAGAAGCTCGAGGCGCAGGAGAAGAAGATCATCGTGGACATCAAGAAGATGGCCAAGCAGGGACAGATGGTGAGGGGATGTCACCGGGGACACACACGGAGGGGATGTGGGGACATAGGGGGGATGTGGAGACACGAAGGGGATATGGGGACACAAGGGGCACCGGGGGTCATGGAGGGGATCAGGGCACTTGGTGGGGTTAAAGAGGGCTCCAAGGGACCATGGGGGGACCTGGAGGGATTCAAGGCACTTGGTGGGAACCAGGGAATGAAGAGGGCTCTAGGAGACCTTGGTGGGGACCATGATGGGACATAGGGACACCGAGGGGACATGGGGACGTGGAGGGGATCAGGGCACTTGGTGGGAACCAGGGAATGAAGAGGGCTCTAGGAGACCTTGGTAGGGACCATGATGGGACATAGGGACACCCAGGGGACATGGGGACATAGAGGGGACATGGGGACGTGGAGGGGATCAGGGCACTTGGTGGGGACCAGGAGATGAAGAGGGCTTCAAGGGACTGTGATGAGGACCGGGGGACTGTGGTGGGGACATGGGGACATGGAGGGCACCAGGGGACTCAAGAGGGGACGTGGGGACATGGAGGGGATCAAGGCACTTGGTGGGGATCACGGGGTGAGGAGGGCTCTAAGGGACCATAATGGAGACCATGGTGGGACATGGAGGGGACCAAGGGACTGAGGTGAGAACTAAGGGACCATGAGGGGGACATGGAAGGGCCCAGGGCAGTTGCTGGGGGCCAGGGGATGAAGAGGGCTCCAGGGGACCGTGGTGGGGACATGGAGGGAACCAAGGGACTGTGGTGGGGACATGGGGACACGGAGGGATCCAGGTCTCTTGGAGGGGACGATGGTGGAGACATGGAGGGAATAAGGGTACCTGAGGGGACCTGGGAGGACAGTGGTGGGACTTGGGTGCCACAATGGTGACCTGGGGACCATGGAGTGGGACACCAAGGACTGTGGTGGGATGAGGGGACACACGGGTGCTTGGAGAGGACATGAGGACGTGGTGAAGTCCCCAAGTGACCATGGTGGGTACAAGGTGACCAGGAGCCTCTTGAGATGGTGATGAGGTCTATGGTGGACCCTGAGGGCCATAGAGTGGTCTCTGGGGGACACAGAGGGGTCCCTGGAGACCTCTTGGGGGACCTGGTGACCACTCAGTGTCCCCTCCCCGATTGCCCTCAGGACGCGGTGAAGATCATGGCCAAGGACCTGGTGCGGACACGGCGCTACGTCAAAAAGTTCATCACTATGAGGGCCAACGTCCAGGCCGTGTCCCTCAAGATCCAGACCCTCAAGTCCAACAACTCCATGGCCCAGGCCATGAAAGGTGTCACCAAGGCCATGGCCACCATGAACCGACAGGTGGGCCCCCAAAGTTTTAGTTCTATGGGGATGTCCCCAAGGCTGTCACCACCATCACTGGTGGCCATGGAAGTGTCCCTTTGGCCGTGGCCACCATGAGAGCCCCCCAAGGCTGTGGCCACCTGAGGTTGCCTGTGAAGATGTCCCCAAGGCCATGGCTACTTCAAGGGGACATCCCTGAGATCATGGCTACCATGAACCGGCAGATGGGTGCCCCTGGGGATGTCCCCAAAGTTGTAGCTCTGTGGGGGTGTCCCTATGGCTGTGACCATCATCATTGGTGGCCATGGACGTGTCCCCTTGACTGTGGCCACCATAAGACCCCCAAGGCCATGGCCACCATGAACTGGCAGGTGGGTGCCCCTGGGGATGTCCCCAAAGTTGGAGCTCCATGGGGATGTCCCCAAGGCTGTCACCATCATCACTGGTGGCCATGGCCGTGTCTCCTTGGCCATGGCCAACATGAGGTCCCCAAGGCTGTGGCTGTGACATCCCAAAGGCCGTGGCCACCGTGTGCTGCCCCAGAGGAGAACCCCAAGGCTGTGGCCACCTGAGGTTGCCCCTGAAGGTGTCCCCAAGGCCATGTGGCCGTGGGGACATCCCTGTGTGTCCCCCCCTCAGCTGAAGCTGCCCCAGATCCAGAAGATCATGATGGAGTTTGAGAAGCAGGCGGAGATCATGGACATGAAGGAGGAGCTGATGAACGATGCCATCGATGACGCCATGGGGGACGAGGACGATGAGGAGGAGAGGTTGGGGACATGAGGATGGGGATGAAAACATTGGGGTGGAGGACGTGAGGGGACAGAGATGTGGGGATGTTGGGGACATGGAGATGGGGACATGGGGCATTATGGGGATGGAGGATATGGGGCTGGGGACATTGGGGTCATAGGGGACAGGGGACATGGCGCACAGAGACATAGGGGACATGGAGGGCACATGGGGGGATGTATGGACAAGGGGGACAGGGCCATTGAGGACATGGGATACAGAGCCAAGGGGCACAGGGACATAGGGGACATGGAAGGGACATGGGAACATGGGTGAAAGGGACATGGGGACATAGGGGTCATGGAGACAGGGACATGGGGGAGCAGGGACATGGAGGGAACATGGGGACATTGGAGTCATGGGGACACAGGGCATAGGGCCATGGGAGTCATTTGGGTCATGGGGACAGGGATTTGGGGGACAGGGACGTGGGGGCACGGGGAACATGGGGGACAAGGACATGGAGAAACTGGGGCCATTGGGGTCATGGAGGTAGGGACACAGGGACATAGGGGACATGGAGGGGACATGGGGACACAGGCGATAGGGACATGGGGGACATGGGGGGCCAGGGACATGAGGACATTGGTGTCATGGGGGACAGAGCCATGGAGGGACGTGGAGGGGACATGGAGGACATGGAGACATGGGGGGACAGGGACATGGGGACGTTTGGGTCATGGAAACAAGGATTTGGGTGACATGGGGGACATGACATTGGCATCATGGGGGATGGGGAAGACGTGGGGACAGGGACATGGGGACATGGAGAGGACGTGGGGGACAGGGGAATGGGGACACTGGGGTCATGGGGGACAGGGCCATGGGAACATGGGGCAGAGGGACATAGGGGACATGTAAGGGACATGAGGACATGGAGACAGGGACATAGAGGACATGGGGACATTGGGGTCACGGAGACAGGGACATGGGGACATTGGGTACACAGAGGACAGGGCCATGGGGACACAGGCACAGGGACATAGGGGACATGGGGGATATAGGGACGGGGACATGGAGACGTTGGGGTCATGGGGGACAGGGCCATGGGGACATGGGGCAGAGGGACAAAGGGGACATGGAGGGGACATGGGGACGTTGGGGTCATGGAGACGGGGACATGGGGACACTGGGGACATGGGACAGAGGGCACAGGCACATAGGGGACAGGGTCATGGAGGGGATGTGGGGACATTGGGGTCATGGAGACAGGGACATGGGGACACATGGGGGGACAAGGAAATGGGGACATTGGGGTCATGTGGGTCATGGCCGTGGGGGAACAGGGACATGAGGACACAGGGCATAGGGACATGGGGACATGGAGGGGCCATGGGGGGTATGCTAAGGAGGTTGGGGACACCCTGAGTGGGGACACTAGGGGGGCAGGTGACATTGTGGG